GTCTGGCACTACTATGAAGTACTGAAATTTGTTTAAATCTGTGAATGATTAACTATTCCCACTTTTACTCCAGTAAGCTTTTAACAGGATGCAAAGTAATTCAGAACTATATCAGCAAAACTGATGCTACTGCTTTATGGGTATAATTTTCAAAATAAAGATCCCTAAAACTTGCTCATAAAACTGTTTAAGGACCATGTCCTTGAATTAATTAAAAGGAGTACTCTACTACATATTAACATCAATCTACAGTCAGTAAATGGAGCAGGACCAGCATTTAGGACTAAAATTCAGGATATTCATGATATGTCTGCCTGTGCTGCATCAGTTTTCTTCTCACCAGTCCTGGAGGAAAGATTTTATAGCAGCAAAAAATAATAATAATGATGTTAAGTATTTTTTTAGTGAGCGATTTTCCAACCAACAGCACCTCGCAACAAAAATATTTCATTACTTTAATCCTCTGCATCGTAATACTGTATGTTATTGCTTTACAAGACAGGCTTTGCCTTCATGAAAAACACATTTTTCCTGCTGATTAAACAACCAATTAACTGTATCTTTTCTACATATAGTCAAACTTCTGCTGAGGCCTAGCTCCTCCCAAAGTCCAGTGGGACTTGGAGACACAAAGGAGACGTCTTTCTGCAACGTGACAGAGGACATCACCATCTCTGACCCCAGGAAAGGTCTGTGTTCCCTCCTCTCTTTGGTGTTTGGTGCAGGCAGGCATTTCTTTCACTGTCTTTTGAATTAACAAACAGAGCGGGATTGTGTGGCTGCTTATTGTTAAGAGTTTCGTCATACTGGGTCATGGTTCACCTCTGTAGTGACTATTAGTTGAAGAGAAGCAAAATTATCATTCACTAGCTGTTTCTTGTTGCACATAATGATGTGTTCGTATTGACTACATTAGCATAGATACTTGTGTTTTTCCTAATCATTTCCCACTCATAGAAATGCCTCATTCATTACTGCTGACTGAGAGCTTGTCTCTGAAGGGATTTTCAATCAATCAGGTTCAGTGTTTTACAGAATCAGCCCGGAGAACTCCCTCCTGGAGATCCAGCTGGGGAAGCTGCCCACCTGGCTGCCGGTGTGCTACGAGAGGTGGAACTCATCGCTGGGAACGCTGGTCTGCAGACAGCTGGGTTATCTGAGGTTTGCACTCCTGACAGGATCCCACACCACCTCAGCCCTTAACATTGATTGAGACTGGAGCGCCCACTTACTAACTTATAGTTTAATCTCAGCCTGCTTTGCCAAGGCTGAAGGCTCGGCTTATTTATGATCTGCTAATACCTCATTTGCAATCCTGCTTCACACCTTGTGAGTCTGAATTATCTTAATACCCAATCCCACCCATTTTGCATGTGTTCCCTTACCAGACTGACCAAGCATAAAGGAGTGAATCTAACTGATATTGGGCCAAACCATACAGATGGCTTTATACAAATTACCTCAGAACACAAGAGCAGCCTGGAAAATATGTGGCAATTCAGGTAAGGCAATTTGTCTGAGGACATCATACTCATAACGATGCAGAGAAAATTGTGGCTACTAACACATTAATTATGCATCATTAGTTACCCAATTTATTTTCATTTAGGGGGAGCTGTATCACAGGGAAGGTTATTGCTTTGCAATGTTTTGGTGAGCAAATTAAACTTAACTTTTTGTTTGACTTTGCACCCTACACAAAGCCCTGTAGTTCTTACCATTTTCTTAGAAAAGGCTTTACATCAGTGGCAGAGGGAGTGATTGGTGCCACTTGCTGCAGCGCTTTCTGAACAATCCAATTCCACTTCTTGATGAATGGATCTCTGTATAGAGTGTGGGACACGAGCGAAGTTGCCCAGGATAATCGGGGGAGTCGAGGCTACACTGGGCAGGTGGCCCTGGCAGGTCAGCCTCTACTACAGCAACCGTCACACCTGTGGAGGCTCCATCATCACCAGTCAATGGGTAGTCACAGCTGCCCATTGTGTGCACAAGTAAGACTGCCGACCTTACTAGCACTAAAGGTCAAAGTTTACAGCCACAGTGAAGGAGAATAATCAGTCATTAACAGCTGCACTGGACACATGACAGTTCTCTATTATCAGTACCTGCCTCTTCCCTTCTTGTCTCAAAACGTTAGCTACAGGCTGCCTCAGGTATCCAGCTGGGTGGTCTATGCTGGCATTGTCACCCGCAGCTCTACAAAAATGGCTCAACACACAGGGTATGCTGTGGAAAAGATAATCTATAACAAGAACTACAACCACAGGAGCCACGACAGTGATATAGCCCTGATGAAACTACGGACTCCACTGAATTTCTCAGGTCAGTCTGGGAGCCTCCTCACAAGCTTTGCACACAACATATGAGCTGAGATAGCAGCCCTCGAAAAGGACCATGACCACTGAAAAAATATTAATACTATGGCCTCAGTTCACCATTTTATCCTCTTAGTCATTTCACACAACAGAGCGGTATTCTCCAGCTTTTATAAAGAATAACTGATCACTGCCTGGTGTAGGTTGTGCTAACTTTTGTAGTCATAATGAACAATGATATGGATCAAAAGGATATAAACACATTTCACACCACACCCCTCCTTGCAACTACATCTTATAGAACCAGTTCTTTATACAAGTTCAAATGTAGGCATTAAACCTCAACAAAGCTTTCCTGCAAACATGTTTTAAAACTTCTGCTTTGAGTAATAATCTGTGTATCTTAATAGTTTTTTAATTTCCAAAATTGAACTGCTAGACAAAAGATATCTCCTACTTCACTCTCAAGTCTCAGTGTTGAGCACTGAAGGTTCCACGTTTTCACATTGCAGTGAAAGTCACATACTGGACCACGATTGGCTTCCATGTAATGAAGTCATTCTAGTTTATAAACGTCTTAAACTGAGATTTTAGGTTTCCCCCCTCAGCAGATGAAGGTAAAATCAGCCTCCTAGTGTCAAGCTTTGCACATACATCATTCTGTACAGAGGAGCTCAAACATCCAAGCAAGGTAGTAATAAAGAAAATACATTTCTGAGTGAAGGGGCACATTAGGGACCCACTTAAAACTAGATAAACTTGAGGGTGCCCATTACAAGACAAAACCACAACAGGAGAATAAATATAGCATGTGCATGTCTCTCAAATAGAGCAGAAGAAAAAGCCTTAATGAAAGGGTTTGAAAAAAAAAATCATAGTGTATTCCAAATTGTCAACTTGTTAGTTCCTACATGTTGGAATTCAAATATAAAGAGGGAAAATTAATTACTTTTTTCCCTTTAACCAGATACGATAAGGCCTGTCTGTTTGCCTCAGTATGAGTATGATCTTCCAGGAGGTACACAGTGCTGGATCTCTGGATGGGGATACACACAGCCTGATGGTGGTAAGACACTACTGCAGCGCTCTAAAACAAATTTACACCTTAGTGTGCCAAGTGTATTGACAGAGCAGCCTTAAACATGTCTTTTCTCTCTCAGTTCACTCACCTGACACCTTGAAAGAGGCACTAGTTCCCATAATAAGCACAAAGAAGTGCAACAGCTCCTGCATGTACAATGGAGAGATCACGTCACGGATGCTTTGTGCTGGATACACAGAGGGAAAAGTGGACGCATGTCAGGTCAGGTGCATGTTTTGAACACTAACTTGCAGAGGCGTTCTAAAGATTCACCTTCCTTTCTGTGATTTGCTTAGAATGAACCGCAGGCATATTGAAACCTGGGTCAGTCTATAATGAAGAGCGTCTGTGTTTACCTCTCTAGGGGGATAGTGGGGGCCCTCTCGTTTGCCAGGATGAAAACGTGTGGAGGCTGGTAGGAGTCGTCAGCTGGGGGACCGGATGTGCTGAGCCCAACCATCCTGGTGTTTACACCAAAGTGGCAGAGTTCTTGAGCTGGATCTACGATATGATTGAGGTAAACAGACTTCTTAGAAATTCTGGGGTATTTGTACAGTACAAAGGAACTAAATATTTGCATTTGGTGCTATTTTACACTTTTACACCACAGCATTTTAGAGCAAGATATTGTACTTTTACTGCACTACATTCATCATTTTATAAAATATGGTGCATAGTGGGTTACACTAAATCCCAGAACACTTCAAAATGCTTCTTTTGTCCAATCAACACTCCAAAACCCAAATATATCCAATTTAGTATCATATCAGATTGAGCTGGAACCAGCAAATGTTTGGCATATTTGCATGGAAACTGAAATGATTAATTGATTATCAAAATAGCTCGACATCAAATTTCTTTCATTCTCATCATTGCAGCTCTAGACTAGACTACCCAGCAGAATGTAAAGTAGTTCAAATTATCGTCACATTGACCAACATTAAAACGCTGCTTAAACAGTAAATGATGCATCAATATCAAAGCCAATATAATAACATGCTGATAATGTACTTGAATACTTTTAATTTTGCTGATAATGCTTCTGTTCCTCTGCTTAAATACGTTTTTGAAAGCAGCATTTTTCTTATGGAGTCTTTTTTTTTTTTTAACAATGCTGCTTTTACATGAGTAAAAAAGATGACAATATCTCTTATCAGAGAGCCCTAATTAAATTCTCACACAGCCATTATCATGATTTATATATCATCAGCAATGAGATGGAATATTTACAACTGCACAATGTAATATGATTACAGTTTTTACACACACTGCTAATACTGACCGTTTCTTTTTGCAGAATTACTGAAGAGACCTCATGAAGCACGAGCAGAGAATGCTACTGATATTATTGTTTGAGACATTTGAAAATTAGTTAATATTTTTACTTTTAGTGTCCGTTATATGATGTACACATAAAGACAGACTAGAGACAAAATGCATTTTTACGTTATATTTTCCATGTACTGTAAATAAATTATGCCTCTTATAAAACTGTGTCGTGTCATACTTGAGCTGTAGTTTACCGCCAGGTGGCGTCTGTGCATCATTTCCGCTCATCAAGTCTCCATAGCAACTGACAACATTAGCCGAGTAGTAGTTTGTTATATTTATGTGGTACTATTCTCTCTCTCTATTTTTGTCAAATATTTAGTCATAGATAATATTCAGAGTTTCTCCGGTTGTTTTCTTATCAGTGAGCTAACTCAGCTAGCTAGTGGCTCATTAATATTAGTGTTTGCTAACTCCAAAGTAAGACGACATTTACCTGAAGATGTCCTCCACTGGCGGTACAGAGGGTGTTTTGCAGCAGGTCAACCAGTTCTGGTCCATGCTGGACGACCTGTCTCAAAATGACCCCGCAGCCTACCGCAGGTTCATCCACAAACAAATGGAGGAAGGGGCTGAATTAATGGCACCGCCTGAGCTCGACTCCAGTCTGTGCACTGAAATCCTGGTGAGTTATAATGTTAAGTAGCAGCGGCGTATTAACTGGTTAACTTTGCTTTAGAAATCTACAAGCCTGCAGAAACCATTTCTCTCGTTAAACATTCAGCGCCAGGGGAGGAAAAAGCACACGTGTGTCTCGTTAATTGTGGGCCGGTGTGCAAATCCTGTGACCTATCAGATTCTGTGAGTCACTGAGGAAGTTCACCTGTATTGACACTGTTGATCCTGCAAACGTTTTTAATATTTGTTTTATTTTATTTTTACATATCTTAATTTGAAAGTGCAGTAGTGTGCAAAGGTTAGTAAAGTGAGGATGCTTTCAAAAATAAAGACATGAATAGTTTTTATTTATCGATAAACTTTATACAAAGTGCAGTAAACAGAAAAAAACCTAAGTCAAATTAATATTTGGTATCACCACCCCTTGTTCTTCTGGGTTCACTTACACACATGTTCTTAAGGTACTTGGCAGGTAGGCTGTTCTGAGCATCCTGCTGACAGGTCACATCATATGTAATACTATGGGAGCACCTGTATGGTGCTCCTCATGTTCGGCTACAGCTGTCAATTTTTTTAAGTCTGTGGCAAAAACACAGATTCACAAAAGTGAAATGCAGACATTATTACTGATATTACTGAATTACACATTTTAAAAGATGTCATCAAAAGATTTTTTGCATTATTAATTTGTTTGGTCTGTAGTGAAAAAGACCCATCAACTGCTCTCAAAGCCCAGTGCAACATTTTCAAATGTCTTGTTTTCTCTAATCACAGTCAAAAACCTAAAGATAGTCACTCATCATCAGAGGAGGCAAAGAAAACCAGAAAACATTCACTTTTGAGAGGCTACAACCTGTGCATTTTTTTATTTAAATTAAAAATTACTTGAATGATGGCTTGATTATTAAGGTGTGGCTATTTAGTTCTTCTTTTAGTTCACTTACTTAATTGTCACTTTCAGCTCTACTGCCTTACCCCTTAATATACAACATCTGACTTATACTACACACAATGAAGCTGTCACACCTGTGTCCATTTATAGGTCAGAGATAGGGTGTGTTTTTTACAGACAGTACATCTGTGCTCTCAACAGGAGCCCAACAAAGGGTTGCTGTATATCAACATATGCAGCTGGAAACGTGTGCCTGCACCTCAGGATCCCAGCAAGCCACTACCTTTATGTGCAGGAAAACTGGAAACAGACACAGATGAAAGTCAAGGTAAAAGACAAAGCTAATTCTGGTCTTATTTGTATTTTTTTGTACAGCACTTTTTTTCAACTCTGGTTGATTTGAATATGTTTTTTTAAATAAACTTGATTTGATAAAAAATAAAACTATATAAATTGGATGTTTTCCCTCCACAGGCTTATACACTGTGTTGGATGTAGCTTTAAACCCTGTAGTGCTAGAGGAAAGTAAGAAAGATAAAACAGAAGTCTATATGCTGGCCCTGAGCTTTGCCCACCAGCAGCTTGGGTTGAGGTTATCTCAGCAGTACACTGTCATCAGCTGTAGCCCGAAAAGTAGTTTAGATGACTTTCACCGCCGCCTTGGGTTTCAGCAGTCCAAGACCTCCAAACAACCCGACACAGGTAGGGCAATAAGTTTCATATCCTGATAAGCTGCTACAAGCCCTTGATGTTGGAACTATTTTCCTTTGCTGCTGCAGGTGTATCATCTTTCACCTTCTACCTCAGTTTCTAATAATCTATAGCACTCCATTTTTGCAGCCAGTCAAACCCCAGCTGCCCTCCTGCAGCAGATCTGCTCTCTACGTTCAGAGAAACAAGACGTGGAGCTGGAAGCCCAAATTATCTCTAGACCTGCGGAGCACAAAAAGGATTTGATCCAGGTCATCTCCACCACTTTTGTGCAGCCTCAGAAGCCAGAGTACCAACTTCGGGTGAAAATTGATACAGCAGGAGTTCCTCGCAGCGTGGAGCTGACAGTGGAGCTGCCAAAGGTTTGCTCTGTGTCAGAGTGCCAGCTGAGAATCTCCAAGGTTAGCTGTTACACACTCCCTTGAACAGAGTTATAATGAACCACTTTAGAATCCAATGTGTGTCAGTGCATAGTTGGATGTCATTAAAAATACATAACTGACCTGTTCCCACTGTTGTAAGTCTTATAAGGTGCTGAATGTACTTACATCCGCAGGACGACGTCTTACTGGAGGTGGAGGATGTTTACTTTTTGCTTCTGGAGTTTCCAAAAACTGTAAACGAAGACACTGCATCTGCCATCTTTAACAAAAAGAAACGAAGGCTTGCATTGACAGTGGATGTTTTGTGATCATTTGCTTTAATGGAGAAACAAACGCACACAGAGGTGATCAGCAATCTGAAAAACCCAAGCTAACAATCAATAAACAGCTGCCCTGTGAACTGACCCCTCCCAAAACCAAAAATGTTTTTCTGAAACATAGTTGGTTGATCTGCAGCAGCAAATGTAATTCTTCACCCAAAAAACATTAATTGACCTTAATGACAATATGTGGGTTTTGTTTATTAATGTGTGGGCGCATGAGGAGAAGTGTATAATGGCTAGGAGCTGGTGTACGGTGTCATTACCTGATGCTGGGGGAATAATTGACAACAAAATGATCCATGCAATAATTCATGTTTATTAAAACATCAGAATTGATGCAGAACAACAACATCAGTATTTGGCAATCTGGAACGTGTGAAAAATGCCAGTCAACACTTTTATTGAAAGGGTTGCATACTATGCACTGATTGCAGCTTTTTAGAGCACAGCTTATCACATATTATTTATTGTAAGTCACATTACTTTCTTTATAATTCAGAGTTTCAGGTTAACATTACTGACCATTAATTGGTAGCCCCACATATTAATCTATGAGCTGCAAAACAATGTCTAGTATGCATTCCTTCAAAAAAAAAAAAAAAAGTGGTACCCAAATGTCAAATTCAAGTCAAATTCTTCATATGAAACATTCACTTTTAAAACATGGTTTTATACTGAAACGGTGTTAGATCCATTGGTCCCAGTTAATTGTATTATAACTATTCGTTTTTATGGCATCACAAGTATTTTTTCTGTGAAATCCTGGTCCAGTGGGAACAACTGAGGTTTGTAGTGGTGATCTCTGGTTTTTGGCCTCTACCTCCTCTCTCCGTGGTCCTCCTCCACCCACGCTACAATCTTCCCCTCCCAGCCAGGCACGACTGCTCCGTCCTGGAATACCTGAACAGCCAATACCGACATTTACATATCCAAGACAGACTCGCATCTATAATGTACAGCCAAAAGGTCCGCATAGAAACTGAAAATGATTATTCAGTGTTATCATATTCTCTGGGATGGAAATCAGTCAGCCCATAGTGTTTTGAAGTATAGAGCAGGCACGGCTATTATTAGCATATCTTTCTCTTTAACTGGCATTTTACATTTGCCTGCTGAAGCTGATGTGAAAAGAAGTAGAAGCTATAATTTAAGTCCCACGCCTACCTCCTCTTTCACTGTGCCAAACTCCGGGTCAAGGGCCTTGAAGTGGTATCTGAAACTGCCTTGTCTGTCTACAGCGGCCTTGAAGTCACGCAGTGTCACCTCGCCCAGCCTGTAAGCACACACTGTCAGTTATGATCTATGCACACATACACCCCCAGAGGCATTAAGTTTTTCTAGTATAAACATTTAACTATCACAGCCACTGAAGCATCTATATATAGATTTGGTCATGCAAGAACCCAGCTCCAGCCCAAACAGCAATTTCATGCACACTCCAGTGAGGGAACAAACAATAAAATAATAATATAAACCTAGAGCAGCATAAAGTGTGTTTATTTTCACCTTTTTGGGATGTTAATCAGAAACGGAGTGAGCGAGCGATCAGTGAAGTAGAGCACTTTAGTGGATACAGCGGTGTCCAGTCCCGGGCTGCTGTGTGAGTGTGCCATTTCTGGAAATAATTACAAAAACAGCAAACATTGTTTTTCACAACCACAGTCTAAAATGGCTCTGGCATCACAGCCAAATAATGCTCTCTCTGCACATAGCAGTGTAACTGAATGACACAGCCAGAGATGAGATGTTGCAGAGGATGACAAATCCTAAACAAAACAAGGATTTTGTTTGTCTCACTTGAGCTCGGCGGCCAGGAGTCACGGTCTGTTGAGTTGGCTCTGCGTCCTGGTGATTTAAATTCCTCCTGGAGGAAGAACCAATTACTCATGGTAAACTGTCAGTTGCCATTTGTTGTTGACTCGTCATTCATCAGATGACAGATGTGTTGCTACTTTTTAGATGTACTTTGAAATGGTGTGTGTGTGTGTGTGTGTGTGTGTGTGTGTGTGAGAGAGAGAGAGAGAGAGAGAGTGCGTACCCCTCTGTCTTGTCTGCGCTGGGTATCCGCTGAGTGTAATCGGTCCATGAGGCTGGACACACCCTGCTCCAGAGTGTCCAGGGTGTGATGTTGGGGATCGTGGCCAGAAAAACTGTCTCTCAAACTACGCAGTGCCTCCCTGACCAGCTGCAGCTCTTCACCCTGTCACAAACTCTTAATAGTCATACAGGCTCTATAAATGTAGTTTTGATTTTCTATTTATTGTCTAGAAAAAAAAGGCTGGTAGGTGAACATCATGAGATACTAAGTCAGATTTTTGACTCACTAATTAAAATTATAATACTAAATTTGATTTATGACTTATTTCAGTTTAATACTTTGACTTTGTAGGCAAAAGTTTGGGCTTATTATCTCATAAATCTGCTTAAGTATCATCATTTGAACCTCTTGTAATTCTAACTTTGTTTTTCATAATTATGACTTATTACATCATAATTTTGACCTAATATCTCATCATTTCAATGTAATATTTCATAATTTTGATCAAGTCAACATTATTCTTATTTACTATCTCATTTTTACTTACACTTACTACAGTGATAACTTTTCTGCTATTTTTCTGTCTTTCTGGTGGAAATCAGCTTCCATACAATAAGACATCAAGATGAACTTGGTAAACTGCAAATTATAGTATTACAAAAGAGCTGAAATAAAAATAAAAAAGGGCATGTACCGGTGCATTGTGTTGAAATGCTGGAGGAGATGTCGAAGCCAGTGAGTTGCTGTAACCACCACTTTCACTCCTGAATGACTGTCAAACACACAACACTATATGTAAGTAAAGTGAGTGAGAACACAAAACACAATATGATGTACCCAAAATAAAAAGGTTACTGTTCTTCAACCCTTTTGATTACAGTCATAACCCTGGTCTCAATCAATCAAGCAATCCCACACAAAACTACTCAGGTTTCTGGAGTTTTTCCTCCATGACAAGATGTTTATTGGACGAAAGCTTGGGTATCCTCCCTCACAAACAGCTGAAAAGTTGAGGAGTGAGTTTTCTGTTCTGTGTGCTAACCTGCTACAAAATCCAGAACAGCTGTTGCAGTGATATGGGGATCCTGAAATGCTTAGAACAGATAGAATCAGGAGACCGAGAGCTTTCAAACAACCTCTAATTTGTCTGAAGATTGAGTCAAACACAGACCAAAAAAAAAGTACAGTATTACTACCAAGGCCAAAGCGTCCCACTGGTGGGAAAGTGTATTATAAAAGGTTAAATCTCTTAAACTGGACTTTCATTAATACTTTCATTACAAAACTTTCAATAGTTTTTTAACTTATTATTATTTACTTAAATTATCTCTTTATTCATTTTAAATTACTGGAATTGGTTTTATTTGTTTTACTCTGATCCAGTTAATGTCTTTTGTTGTCTCATCTGATTTCACATCTGATTTTGTAATTCCTTGATTTTAATTTGCTGCTTGTGTGAAATACTTTGCAACCTTGGTTTTGAGAAGCGCTCTATAAATAAAGATGATATATTATATAATTACATATATCTTTTACCTCCAACCATATATTGTGGAAATACTTGAAACATGTCACGCTCCATACCCGTGCAAGGCTGACCTCATGTGCCTTATGCTGAGCTTCATCGAGTTTTTGTTGCTGTTGCTGCAGTATCCTGTCCTTCCTCCCAAGTTGCTGCTATTGTAACAAGAAAGATGGATGACACAAGTCTTCATATACATGTGTGTATCTCAGGAACGCACTGAAATGTAAATAAAAAAAGACAATACCTCATATTCACTGAGTAATTTGTTCCGTTCACTCAACTTGTGTTTGAGCTCTGCCTGCAAACAGAAACATCAGTTTGATATATGAGGGCTATATCATTCTCACATAAACCTGCCCCCGCGGGTCAAGCAGGGCAAATATTTTATTGTGTCAAATGGAAATCATCACTTGTCTCACATTTTCCCCTTCCAGCTGATCTTTGGCCATGTTGCATCTCAGTAGTTCCTGCTTTAGCTGCAGCACATTATCCTCCTGCACTGCCAAGCGCTGCTGCAGAGCATCCTAATGAGAAAGAGAGGGAGATCAAAGAAACGTGCACAGAAGACCTGACTACAGATACATCCACCTATCGACAGCATACACCCACCTCTAAGCTTTATTATCTTTATAAAGAAATGAAAAATATATGTTGTGTATGACAGAGCCTGTAGAATCCTCAATTTGGGAGGGTACACGAGTGGAATAGATTGAATTATATCCTATAATCCATTTTGAGTCACACATAAAGGACAAAATTAGAGTAAGCGGTTTACCTTGATGGCCTGAATGTGACGCGCCTCTTGTTTGTGTCTCAGGAGTTCCCTCTAAAAGCCACACAAGTGAACAGAGAGACATTAGAGAAAGGGACTCTTTGCTCGTAAGGCAGCTCTTCTATACCAAACCTAATTACATTTACGTCCTGTACCTTGAGATCAAGGGCTTCCTCCATGCTTTGGTCCAGACGACTGCGGATTAGAACCTTCAAAGGGAGAGAGGGCATGAGCAGCGTAATTAGAGAATGGAAAAATGTCAGATTGTATGAGGAGGCATTGGGCCTGTGTGACAGCAGGCTAGCAGTTTAGAGAGATTCATTCGTGCTCTACGGCATCCACTCTTGAGAGGAGTGATGGCTGCAAACCTCATCACAACAGAGGGGCTGACACTGACACTTCACAGAGAGAGGCGAGCAAGTGTTGTTTTCTTGAATTAGCAGAGAGAGGGCACTGTACCAGCTGCTGTTCAGTGTTAGCCCGGTTATCTCCGAAGCTCACAGATCCATCCTGGTCCTCTTCAGGGAGGGAGCCATGGAGCAGCAGAGCCTGAGGACAAAAGAAGAAGCCTGATATATTTCTGTATTTTGTATTTGTAAATACTGAAATGCTGTATTTTCATACTTGGCTGCTCAACAGGTTTTCCATTTCAGCTAATCAAGCCAATGAATTCAGTGAACTGAATCAAATTAAAGCAAATTGAAAAGCTCGTAGAGGTATACAGAGACTTCCTCTGCTCACCTACATCAACCCGTATATACACATCACCACGCACGCATACACACATATTTAAAGCATAAAACAAAAACTCTCCCCTGATACCAAAACGATCCTTCCAAGTCTATTAAATTAATAATGAACACTTTTAAGTTTCAAATTTTACAAGAGGGTGCTTATTTGCTCATTTGTATTATCTGTTAGTATTCTTAGTATTATCTTAGCATAGCAATATCTTCTTTGCTGTATTGCATTTGCCCAGAATTTGATTTCTTACATCAGCAGTGATGTGAGTTCATGTAAATCCCTGAAGGTCAGTGTGGAATAGAGAAAGGTCTAAAATGTCTAAAAGCAATTTTTGTTTCATTCATTTGAATCACTGAACAAATCTGAGATGTGGGTGGTGATTCAGATTCCTGGAACCAGGCTACAAACTCAATATATAATTGTCTTTAACTAAAATGGATCCCATAAAGATAAAAATATAGACAGGGCTGTCCAGCTTAGTAAAGGGATTGCACTCAGTGTGAACATGACAGTATTATGTGGGTAGTTGACAGGTCTATTTCTGTAAAAGTCACTTCACACATCTATTTTAGGTTCTCTACAGCGTGTTGACTACAGTATGTCGACTTGTTAAAAATACTCCATCTTTGGATATTGTACAGACGTGTGATAAAGATCTTGCTTGATCTATATCAATAAACTGGAGAAGAATATGGAAAAAACATCACGTTCTCTTCACACATTTGGAGTCAGCAACTACTACATTTTAAGTTTGTGCATGAACTTTATGTATCAGCTGAAGGAAGAGGTTCCTGGTGATGACTGCAGTACCTCCTTATCTTTATAATTTCAAACACTTTTTCCTCATATGATGTGGGATTATTCCTCTGTAACATATTTTTGGGATGTCCTGATGTATTCTTCTTATTTGTTATGTATTGATCTCTGTATATTGTCTGCTTTACTATCATCTGCACATGAATTATTTCAGCATAAAGATGATAACATGGAAGAATGTGCAGGAAATATAAGCATGGAACTGGAACAAAAGAGAGAATGGACATAAAAAAAACAAAAAACTGCATTTTAACAATTTTTTACATTCAGATATATACTGTATGGACCCTGTGTACATAAAATACAAAATATTATAATATATATTCAGTATTATTTTCATATTTTACAAACATTCAAAATATTGGACTCTGCAAATAAAAACATTTCCATTGCAATAGAGGCACCTGAGTAGCAACTTAATCATTAAATGTCACAGAGATAATTTTGCATAAACTTGTCAATAGCGGACAACCTGTATATTGATTTGTTGAGAAAAGATAGATAGGAGATGGTATTTTGAAGAAAGTCAAAACAGAGACAAAGAGAGGGCAAGAGTTTATCCAAGTGCCTTAATTTACTTATTCACCTTTATTTATCTCAAATTGGTGACTTGACCCGAATGCCAAATGTCCTTTCTTAGCTAAATATTTCAACATAGACATAAAGGATAGAGAGCATCAGGTGTTAATGATGAATCTTGTTAGCCTGATACTCAGAGAGAAGTCAGTTTTTTTTTATTCTTTATATCTATCATTCTTCTTATTTTATTGCTATAAAATAATTTTTAGTATAGTCTATTTGAATCCATGAAAAAACAGTGCAGACGTGGGCAGGTGATCATAATCTGAAACCTGGCTAAAATTTCACTGTTTGCTAAATTTGAGCTGTGGACTTCCTCTGATGCATCTGTGGTCTTTGTGCCTTCTGTCAATATGTTCATAGCAGTGGTGCAGTTTGTTTTTCATGTGTGCTGTCATCAGGAACTTACCTGTAGGCGAAACACCATCCTCCTGGCCTCCTGCATCTCTTTCTCCAGCTGCTCCTGGTGGGCGTCCAGCTGCTCCTCCCAGGACTTCTCCTCCTCCTGCCCATCATGCCCGAGGGAGGGACACAATCCACAGAAAGACACCTCCTCTGAAAGGAAGAGATGAACATGGGGGGATGAGGCAAGGGAGTTTATGTTTGGATTCACTGCATCGTATTTTGCTCAACAAGTGCTGATGTGCAGCCAACCAACCTGTGACAGATTTTTTCTCTGTCAGCTCAGATTTGTCATCCTGAAGTTCCCCCTGGTCTTCAGACTGATCATGGATGGTTTCCTCTTTAGGGGTGTCAGTGGCCTGGGTGATAACATACTCCTCTTTGGGGGAGTGAGCAGGGCTGGCTGAGCTGAGACTGAAACAGATGGTGGGCACAGGCAGGAGTGAGCGTTTGCATCTCCTGCCAAATGAATGGCAATAAATAAACCTAGCTACATAAAATGGAGATATACAATTTAATAACTCCCCAAGGAGGACAAAAATGTGAATTAATCCCATCTGGGCTAAATTTTTTAAATCTGATTTTAAACATGAAATGTCCAGAGGAATCCAGTGTATCACAGCTTATTAAACAAATAATAAAATGAATGAAAACACATCACAGAACAGGACTGAAACCTGTTCAGAGAATACACAGCCAGAACAAGAATGCAACTCTGTCATTTTCCCACAGGAAATTCTTTACATAGTTTGCTCCCCCTTTGGCCATAATTTCAAAACATAATGCTTGCATAGTTTTCTTAAAGACTGGTTTTCTTGCAGCTTATGAATATATGTTTTGTGTTTTCTGAGAGCAATGCTAGTGGCTTGAGGTTCAGGCCAACTGTCATCTTCACTATGCTGTGTTTGTAGAAATAAGATACAGCTACTGTGACCTGTGACCTATGGCATTATGCATGGTCCTTTAACAGGGGATTTCGTCTTTTTCCCTCTATGTCTGTGGGAAAACAAGCCTGCGTCTGTGGAAACAGATCTAAACTCTGTGCTAGCAAAGGGATAGAAAAGCACCACAATTCATCACCCTGTTCCCGAGGCTAAAGACTAAGAAGGAAAAGAAATATAACAGTGGACTTAACCGTGGGATAACACTGTGTTGAGAAACCAGTGAATGTCCTGAAGGATTGCATTTGCACGGTCAAACATGTTCTTCCCATACATATGCAGCAAGATCTGGATTGTAGTCGATGAGATTTTCTGCTTATCTAATAGCATTACTCAGCACAAGCTAATATCACAACAGACAGCAAACAGTAACACTTGTATTATCTGTCACTTTTGAGTTCACACTGCCTCTGCATGGAATAATTGTGCATAATATTTCTGTGACTTATTCATCATAATGTGCACTTAAGTTCTGTTTTAGGACTAAGAGTCTGCAACAATACAGGTGAGAGCCTGTGAGATAAATGCTAATGTCAACATGTTAAATGCTTAAAATGACAATGCTGACATGGAACTATAATGTTCACCATCTTCATTTAGCAAGGTAGCATGCTAACGCTTGCGTATTAACTCTAAACACTCAGTTGGCTATTCATTGGACAAGGGCACAACAGTGCTAACCACTGCACCACTGTGCTGCCCTAAATCCCAATGTCAGAATACTAAATTGGTCAATTCATTGTTTTGATGCCCAGGTTAGAAAATTTGTTATTTCACAGCTTTTATTTCCTATTATTGATTATATCATACAACAGAACACTTCTGGAACACATCCCCACCCTTTAAATGTAGTTTACAACATTTGTAGATTTGTCTTGAGGTGACGTTATCTTACACATCATTGTTCCACTTAACTGGTTACCACTAAACTCTAATGGACATTTTCATTGGTTGCTTTTTATTTTCAAATCCATTTGCTTCAACTATCCTTTATACTTTAAACTGCTTTTAGTTCCATTTAGATACATAGTCAACACCATTTTATTTATTGTGCCATTAATTTCTAAGGAAATTGGAAGACATGCTTTTCAATTTAAAGCACCATCACACTGGAACAATTTGCTGAACTCGCTCAGATCTATTACTACCTTTCATGGCTTTGTTGGCAGGGATAACTTATTTTATTCCATGTTAGTTTTGTAACAGAGATGTAGTGTGTGTGGTTTGGGAGTGTAGGAGAGCCTGTGTGTGTGTGTGTGTGTGTGTGTGTTTTTGTTGTGGTTTGTATGCTAATTGTTTTGTGTCACCTGGATTATTTTATTGTACTATCATTACTGTTATTTATAAAGGAAATTATGCATTTCAAGGGGTTTATCCTCAATTACAAGTGATGCTGATTGGAATCTTTTGTTGGTATTTGGTCATAAACCAAACCACTGTTTGAACTAAAATATTGACCTGATGATGGTGCTAGATGAAGAGTCAGAGGGTCACCAAAGTCATTACAACTAAGCCTGAGGGGGACATGGATGTGTGAATGAAATTACATGGTAATCCGTCAAATAGTTGTCACAAAAAAACACAAATGTCCACCTCATGGTGGCGCTAGAGGTAAAGTCAGGGGATGACCAGAGTCATTAGGATTGATAGTCTGGGCATCATGGATATGTGCACCAAATTTCATGGCAAATTATCCAAAAGGTGTTGAGATATTTCAGTCTGGACACAAGTGATGGACCAACTGACATACCGAAATTTTTGTCCTGCTGCTAGCATGTCCAAAAAAAGTATATACAATTTCTTATAGTGTGAACTTTTTAATTCAGGCGAGTTAAGTCATGTGACAGTTATCAGGCTACAATCAGCACACTGAGCAACCTCTGTTAGTTATGTCATCCCAACTCCTCCAAAAGAGTAATTGCAACAGGTCACGTAAAAAAAAATGAACTGAGCGTCTTATCAGATGCTGCTGTGATTATCCTTAAGTGTTTTTCACAAGGGGATCAAAGAAGCTGCCTCCTACTAATCTTGTCGTTGCAGATGATGACATTATCAAGATACCCTCTATCATTGTTTCAGACTGCAGTTCAATAAACTCTAACAAATGTATTTTAGATGCTAGCTTCTGATCTGTTGCACCAAAGGAACACATACATACAGACAGATTTGGAACATATGGGCTAAGCCAGAGATTAAGCGCTGGGATTTGCAAGAGATGAGCTTCAGTGCAACAGATTAACATCATTTGATCAGCACTGGTGGAAAGTTACTACATACATTTACTCCAGTAGCTACTGTACTCCAGCGCAACTTTGAGGTACCTTTTAGTGTTTCCATTATATGTTACTTTACACTTATGCTTCACTATATTTCAGAGGGAAATATTGCACTTCTGACTCCACTACATTTATCTGACAACTGTAGTTACTTGTTCACTCGTAGATTTTATATAAAAAACATATGATAATCTTAATAAATACAATTTATTGCTAGAACACTGAACCAGTCCTCCACAACCTTTTTGGCTTGTGGCCCCTTAGAAAACAGCAGTGTCTAGTTGGGACATTTCAGATGTCTAGCAGACATTTCTACCAAAGAAAGATCCCCCCTTTACACTTCTCAGATGGTTTCACTTAAAACAGTTTGACACCCAAAGAGGTAAAATGATGCAATGAATCATTTTAAAAATTCTTTAAAATAGGTGTGTGGCATAACTTTGATTTTTCTTCTTTCCTGTCCCATTAATCATCTTCAACCCTTCAGATTTATATTGTTTTTTATTGTATTTAAGTGGTTAAATTCACTTTCACCTCAACCAGCTACAGCAGAAATATTCTGGTCATAGACTGATGCATCAGTATTGATAATCTAATAAAGTTATCAAAATAATAAATCAATCAATCGTGGGTTTTTTTTTCTAAAGTATGAGTACTTTAACTTTTGATACTTTGAGTAAATTGCTGATAATTGCTGATAAAAATATAATTAGGATTTTCAAATGCAGGACCTTTTATATATTTTTACATTGTTGTATTTACATTCACTTATGTATCTGAGTACTTCTTCACCACTGGTGATCAGCATGAAACGTTTATCCATTAAAAGATGGAAGACTTTGATTTAGAAGTTCAGTTTCTATATAGTGGTTTTTGTGGTAAACACAAAATCTTGGAAAAGATGGTGGCTTTTTAGAATATGTTCACAATCCAAAAGCCAGTTTTATCAAACAAAAATGTAGAAAAAAAACACCCTTTATTTGATATTCCATCCTCTGAATCATGAAATGGAAGAGTCGGTAATGGAAGTTGGACTGTGGTTGCTAGGCAATAGCAGCTCAGCTCACACAGACAAATACAGGGACACACCCACACCTACTGCACTGTAAACACTGAACAATAACCTGCACAGTTTGGGTATCAGTCAGTTGTTATGGTGGTATATGTTTCTAACACCAAGACTGAGACACACAGACGCTGATCAAGATGATTAAGACGATGTATACTCTCATGAATTTAGGCCTCGTGTATTGTATATCTCCCTCCACTGATACACTCATGTATTGTAGACAAAAAGAGCAGTCTGTCTTCACGTAGAGAAATAATAATAATAATAAACAGCACTTACCATTTCATCTGTTTTGCTCCCATGCTGGTGTTTACAGGCTTAACCTCCCAGACAGTCGGAGCGCCGCATCTGGGTGATGCCCTGCTTCTCAGTTAGGACCATAGCCCAAACACAGCCAGAGGCAGCAGGGAGGGGAGCAGCCCTGAAAGCAGCAACCAGAGGAGTCTCCACGTCGCACACTGTGTTCAATCAGACATAACAGCACATTCAAATCCTCTCCAGCAGCATATTCCTAAAAACATAAAGCTCCAAATCCCAAACACAAGCCCTGAACCCTTCCCCTAAATCATACCAAGGCTCAGTCCTAGCTGGCAGAGGCAGAAAGAGAGAGACAGAGGGAGAAAGGATTGGGGCTCAGCAACACCAGCGACTGAAGTCTGCCTGGTTTCTCATTGCACTCGCCTTGTGGTTGAGCTCACCAGCTCCCATTCACGAACACAATGTTTTTTGTTCCTTGCGGACAAGAACTGATGCAGCCCTTGTGCATCTTTTTCACCCTTTTTTCTCTGCCGGTCTGTTTGCATTTATTGCCTCCGCCCTCCCTCCCTGCCTCCTTCCCTCTTTCGCTTCTGCTCGGTCGCACTGGCTTTGTATCAGTCTTCCCTTCTTTCAGTGAGCGAGGATGTCAGACATGGCTCTGTCTGGGTGTGTTTACCCTCCCCCCTCTCCCTCATTCCTCCTCCTTCCTTTCCCCACTGCTCTCTCCTTTCACGAGGAGGAGGAGGGAGATTCTCTCCTTCTCTCTCCTTTCCCTGTGCTTTTTCTGTATTGTATGTCACTGCAGCTAAAATGAGAGCCAGCACATGGATGGAAAAAGAGACATGAAAATCTATATGATGAACTCTTTTGTTTGTTGAAAAAAAATCACAAGCTTGCAAAACAACAACCACACAAGCTGAAATGAGAGGTTAATGATATATTTACACAGTCAGTATGGAGTTCTTTGAAAATAAACAAATGGAAATTGGTATCTATAGGACGCACACATATCAGCCTACAATTACAGCTCTTTTCACAGCAGCCATGGTTGTGTAGCATATGTTGTAAACAGTGTTTTTTAATGCAATTGTGACAGGAACCTTTAAAAAGAGTTATTTAGAAAATACACCAAAACATCAGAGCCAGATGAAACCTCAAATGTAAAAAGTGTCAGCATTATAATTTGAGCAGCAGGCAGCAAGAACAAAAGGTTTTCTACGACATGTGTTAAGTACTCCTTTGAGAAGCGTTTTGACTGAGCACACTGTCATTAAGCTGTTAGAAAATGTTGCTGGTGTCATCAGCAAGAATGTGAAATAGGTCTCAACGTGGCAGCTTGCAATCCTGCCCAGAACAAAATGACACTGTCTTAAATTCTGTATGAGCATCATCAGCATATGCTCCAATGAACTATTTTACTGTAGCGTGTTAACACAGAGCCATGAAAATGCAGGCTAAAGCAGTCCTAGATTTATGTCATCAATATAAAGTACCTTATAGTGTTGGCTATGCGGAATGGCCCATCTAAGAATACTTATATTATGTTATTAGATTAAAATTATGGCTAAATTAATGAGTAAGCATCACATGTTGCAAGGCAGGGCTAATTTTACTATTCATTATAGTTTTGGGTAGTTTAAACTTTAATAATAAATAATAATTACTTGATGATCTTATTTTGTATTAATAATCTGCATCTGCAAAGTAACTAGTAAATACCTAGTAAGTACCTGAAATTACTTTCCACCACTGTATTTCAAACATGCATGTGTGTCTAGATTAGATTGATTTCCTATGACATGACTGAGATGTGCTGATTTTCTTTTCTTTTTTTGGACACCAGAATGAAAACAGCTATCTAGAATACAATTAAAAATCATAGGAATTTGTTAAGAGTGAATTTCAAATCCTGTTTTATACTCCATAGAATCTCAACATTATTGCAGCATGTTAACACATGTTGATTGGTGAGCTACAGATGTGTTACTGGTCAGTGCATTTTTTTACCTCTGGACAGAGCCAGGCTAGCTGTTTCCCAGGCTAAGCTAACAGACTGCTGCCTGTAGCTTCATATTTCATGTACAGACATGAGGATTTCCTGATATTGATCTTCTCATCTAACTCTCGCCAAGAAAGCAATTAAGTTTCCCAAAATGTTGAATTATTCCTTTTATGTTGATCAGTATTTATGCATAATCATTGTCACTCAGATTAATGATTTTCATCATATTATGGCAACTGGTATTAAACTAATCAAACTGTTTACTTTTATTTAATAGACAAAAGAACGAGCATAGTTAAAAACTATTCTGAAGGAATATGTTCCCTTAGGTTTGTAATTATTCACACTGTGTCTATGATTCACTGTCTTTTGTAATCCTCAGATGTATAAATTCACTGTGCGTCAGCTGTTTTTGTCAAATATTTGGTTAAAATTTGCAAAACTGCCAACTGGAAAACACAGGAAAATTTGGCTATGCTTTTCCTGCGAAAACAAAAGTGTCCGTCGAGACAAGAAAATCAAAGTGGCTGCTGTATCCACCTACAGTATCTGATATTGTTGGGCAAGGATTAAATAGATAAACTCAAAGTGGGACCATGCAGCACTCAGTCCATGTAATATTTGCAGAGAATAAGTAGTGCATGAATATTGGGCAAAGGGAGCTGCTGGTGAAGCGTTGATATCAGTTTGACATTCAGTAACTTCTCATTTCTATTCTTTTCAGCATTACTTTCAATGTTTTTGCTCCAGTATTAAAAAGACAAGGACAAACTCAGGTAACAGGCAGAAAATTAAGACTTGGCAGACCAAGATATGATTGAGGGAATTGGGGGAAACAAGGTGTTTCTTTAACAGAGAATATTCAATGGCTGCATGGATGATATATAAGGAGTGACTTTGTTGTTCAAAGTGTGGTGGGAAAGTCATTCCACCACTGGGGAGCCAGGAGGTGGGAAGAAAGCCGGTTTGCCACAGGGACAGCATGCAGTCAGCCAATTTGTAAATCAAATGAGCTGCTCAAACAGAACATATTGTTTGCATGGTCACCATGGATTCTGATTGTAAATTATTATTGTGCCTGCTATGAAACAAGAGGTACCAATCTTTTTTATTTCACTGACCTTCAAGCAGATATGTATGAAGCACCACAAAATGATAAGACTTTGTCCCTGGGAATCTCATCCCATTTTTGTTGTCAAATACAATTTGTAAAAGGAAGTCAGTGGCTGTTTACATTCATTGTTTGGGTGATAACAGCATATTGTGAGAAAGTTAATTGAAAGTCAGTCTGTCGTTATAAATCAGCTGTTGCCCAAAAAATTCATGCATCAAATAAACTATTTGGCTCGGATATTATCTGAAAATTATCAAGCCCTAAGAGCTCATTCTTATGTCAAGGCACATCCTCCTAAATTTGCAATTTGCTTAACAGAAAATGTTTGGAAAAGTTTAGTCTTCATATGAATAACAAAAATATTCAATCATGCCCTATCTTTAGAAATCTCAGATCTACTTTGATACACACCAAAACATTCCTGCCAAATTTCACTGAAACCTGTCAACAAATGTTCTTATATATAATCATGCTTACAAACAAACAACAGGCAAAACACAAATACTCAGTGCTGGAAGAACTATTTGTATCCTTTACCTAACTAAAAGTAATAATATAACAGTATAAAAACACTCTATTACAAGTCAAATGCCTGCATTCAAACCCATAAAAAGAACAGAGGTATAATCAGCAAAAATGTAATCAAAGTAAAAACATTTTTTGAGAAAATAAAGAGATTTTTTTTTTTCGTATAAGGAGACATTTTCTGCTTTTTATCAGACAGATATTTTTTGTGTCAAATATTGTTCACAGTGATTTGTACTTGGACTTGACAGGTCTGAGTATCTTGACAAAAAAGGAAGCGTGGATAAGGAGAGATAAAAGAAAAAAACCTAACAAGGTCTAGCTTCTGAGTTAAAAAAAAAAAGCCCATTGTGGTAAGGGTGTTATCAAGGCTCAAGATAGATGGATGTATTGGACAATCCTACTTCAAGACTGAACTCACTCTACCCACTTTACATACAAATATGTAGGTAGGTCTGTAAAATTAGTTCATACAGGAACAAGATGAAACTTTGATTCCCAAAGGGTAGTTGGGAGCACACAATCATCTTCTCACTCAGTGATAACACGGAACAGCTTCCTACATGTATCAGAGTAGACTACTTATTAAAACCACTAATTAGGCTACCACTAAATGAAACACCATACTCTTCATCATGTTATGCCTTTAAAATATTGGCTTACCAGGTTATTTGAAATAGGCTAAAGCCTAATTAGTTTTACAAAATGATATATCTTTGAACATTTTGCACGTAGGCTATGTTGATAAAATGCATATGTATTTTACATTGTTTACACAGTCTTTTGGATGGCTACTCTTAAAGCTAGGGCCTAATATATCATTGTGTGTAACACTCTGAGGACTTTGCATTGTAGTATATTGGTTGCCTGAAGTGATGTAGCACATTTATATGTGGGTATAAGTCAAGACAGGTCAAGCCTAAGCACAAAGTAAGACTGGAGGCAGGGGGATATGATAGAATACTTTTTGTGAACTCATATTATTTCCATTGGTATTCTTATTCAATTGTATTTATTTTTTATTTTAAGTTAAGAGAGAAATAGATAACCTAGATCTTTCATCACACTTCAATAGAACTCAAAATGGTTGATCTGTATATCTTGTGTAAATGTCACATTTAGACATTGGAAATTAGACATTCTGGTCTCATTGGAGCTGTTGTGACCTATTGACATAGCCTACCTGTCCTCACACTAAGTGAAACTGTCAGCCTTGCACATTCTCATAATGCTGAACAAAAAAAGTGATTCTTGTTGTATTTGTGGATAGCTCTGCTATAAGATATAAATGTAACACCCAGTTACCTAGCTACAATTTTGAGATACTTATACCCGAGTTTTTACTACTCTAAACTTATTTGATATAGCTTTAGTTACTTTGCAGGTCAAGATTAATATAAAAAATATTAACCAACAAATAAATATCCAAGTATTATTATAGGATACGACTTTTAGGCAGCGTATAAAGTAATTCAAATGAGGGCTGCAACTAATGATTATTTTCATTATTGATTAATCAGCTAAATACATTTTCATATAATCAATTCATAATTTAGTCTATAAAATGTTATATGTAAGTGTTGAAAAAAAAAAAAAATCAGTGACAAAAGTCCCAGAAGTGGCAAGTCCCACATGTTCCACATTCCACATTTGAAAAGGTGGAATTAGAAAATCTCTGGTACTTTTGCTTGTAGAATGACTGAAATGATTAATTGATTGTCAAGATAGTTCGTTGTTGTTGTTTTTTGTTTTGTTGATTAACCACTAATTGCAGCACTATATAATAACACCCAATAATATTATATAGTTACATTATGCTGAAATGGCTACTTTGTTCTTTTACTTAAGTAACATTTTCAGTTTTAATTGTATGGGAGTATTTTATATTGTTGTATACTTTTTAAAGAATCTCATTAACTTCTTCCGCAACTCTTTATGTGTGCCCCTGTAAGCAATAAAACTCCACAACAAATTCACAGGCTTTAGCTTATCCAGTTGTTAGGGCTAACTTTTTTTGCAAAATAATTGGGTACGTAAACATCAAGTGGAAACCAACACCATGTCTTACATCTTAAGTCCTCATTTCTCTTCTCTTGTTCTTTTTAGCAGGCTGTTGTATTTGTCTGCCCCCTATTCGGTCTGCGAGTTACACAAAAATATCTGGATCTTTTTAGCTTACTAAGCCATGTGAGCCATTTATTCCGTGTATAAAAGGTTGCTAATTAGCTATAGATTTTAGTAGTAGGCTACTGTAAAAAATAATAGCCTATTTATTGCTAAAGTCAAGATTTAAGACAAATATCAACCATTTTAGTGATTATTTTATATTAATGATATTGCTGTTGAATATTGCTGGTGAACCCTTGGAACTAATCACAGTACAGGTCCTTCCAACGTTCAGTGACGTACACTGTACGTTACCGTTACGTACGAAAAAAAAGCGGAAGTACCAGCAGAGACTGAGCTACGTTTTGTTCTTCTTGAATGCTACTCGTTTTGGAAAGGTACCGTTTGTACACATTGACGAAATGATGGTGAAAGTGTACAAGTAGTAGTATTGGTCTGTTGTCCGTAGCGGATTTTAAACAGGTTAGTTCATAGGCCTATTACTACAATTTTATTTGTGCATCTGATTGTCCAACACTGTTAGCTAGCAAGCTAGGCTAACAGGCGAGACTTCGTTTAACAGCTATCACGTATTTAGAAGTTAAGCTGTTATTTCTGCCTTATTTTAACGTTTATTAACCAACAATCGGTTTTGTTTGTCGATTACTTACACGACTGTCTTGTCAGGTGTCGCCATGTCAAAGCAGCCGTTGGGGAAGACCTTGTTGAGGAATGTAATCCGCCACACAGATGCCCACAACAAGGTGCGTTTGAGTTCACATGTTCGTGTAACAAGTGAGAAACACACTCAGTTGTCGCCGGTTTATTAGATACAAGTAGCTATTAGGTGACCTGTCCCCGTGAAAGTCATAATGGTCAGTTTTTATTAAGACTGATTTAGAAAGGTGATGATTCAAGTGTATGGTCATTTTTTAGGATGTTGTTTGTGGTGATTTTGTTTGTTGTATTTGGGTATATGAGGGTAGACTAAATAACCATATAAACTGGCAACTGAGTGTAGGCTATGGTGGGAAACGACAACACTGTTGATTTATTCTCTGTTCCACATAATGTCAGAAAATTGTGTAAAGTGCCCATCAAAATTTCTTAAACTCTATGGTGCAAACAATACTCTGAAAGTTATTTGGTGTACTATAATATAAAAAAAGAAATGCAGCAAATCAGCATATTGTATAAACCTCAGAATGGGTAATGCTTATGTATGTATTATAATGTTGTAAATATCATTTAAATAATTATCAAAATAGCTGCCAATTTTCTGCCCATCTATTTAAATAAATTAATTGTTTCAGCTCTAATAAGTTGCATATTAGAGAAAAAAGTAACTGTTCATGTCCATGTGATGCCAGGATGGTTTAATTTCTCTCATGATATGGTTTTGACAATGTTCTTGAAAATGAGGGCTCAAGAGAAGTTTGATCCCTTAAATAAGAGACAACCTGCACATGGATCAAGGTTTTGGGTTTTTTTCTGGTAAAATGATCTGGTTACCTTGCAAATATCATTGAGTTAAACTATAATTGTAAGTTAGTGATACTGATATTTGGCAGCCTTGAGCATGTACACAAATTGATTTGCAGGATTTTTCTTTACCCACAAGTGTTGAGGAATGTATAAAACCTCTGGAAATATTTGAATCCATTATAATTTTGCTTTTGGCAAATTCAAATTAGGCAGTTGGTGTGTGTGTGTGTGTGTGTGTGTGTGTGTGTGTGTGTGTGTGTGTGTGTGTGTGTGTGTATCAGCAGTTTTTAATGTACTCACTGATGTTGACCCACTGCAGATCCAGGAGGAGATGGAGATGTGGAAAATGCGAGGCTGGGAGATCCAAACGTCCCACGACAAACATTTATCAGATACAGAGTGTGCGAGGTAAGAACAGTGGATGTCCCTGTTTAATTTGAGCCACCTGGATACAAGAGACACCAAAGCTCATTTGGAACTATATTTCATAATGTAGCTCTCACCTCAGAGAACTGTTACTGTATGTTGGCTTGCTGATATATTAATAGTGGTTGTGTTCCAGGGGGCGTATGCACTGTGATCGAGTGCCAGATGAAGCTAGAGACCTAAGTCAAGGCAGAGAGCGAGTCTCTGAACACGACAACCGAAAGGCTCGATACTGGTCTCGCAAACTGTATGAATTTGAGGCCAAAGATCCTGACAGGTACAGTATATGGTATAATCTTCTTTGAAATACATTTAAATACAAGTGTTTTTGCTTTCATGGAAAATGACTGGAAATGGTGAACATTTGAAAGCAAATAACAATAAAAACTGACAAAAATTTACATTTTATGTGCTCCCAACACAGGTGGGGACATAGTGGTTTTAAGGAGCTGTATCCTGAGGAGTTTGAAAGTGATAGGTAAGCAAAAATGCAGCACTGCTTATCTGAGCAACAGATTTTAACTGAGCTACATATGCAACTCTGATTTTAAAGGGGCAATCCAGTGGTTTAGCACTGTACTTTCATGAAATTGGAATTGTAAAACCATCTCCAGTGTGGGCCAAGCTCCATAAAATCCGGATCCTTCACTTCCCACAATGCAGCTCGAGAGCATCTTGCTATGTTGTGTTCATGTCACATCAGATTTATTGTAGTTATGAGCTTCTGACTTGTAAATAATGTTCGCATCTAACAAAACAAATATGGACTGCGTGTAATTCAACGCAAGTTTAATATGTGGTGATGATGTGAAAGCTTCCAGTCAATAACATGGGAATTTGCATCTCTACCATCGACCCTGTGTGACATGTGGCATTAGATACTGTCTAGCAAATGCCACGTCTTTTAAACTTCATGCTATTATGTTTCTGTTAAAAACTGAGCTCCAAGCCAAAGCTGAGATAACCCTGATGACACCATGAAGGATTCATTTTTTTCAGACTTCTACAACTTTTCATAGGGTGAGTACTACTCCTGATGAAAAATAAAATGATCTGATGTGTGAAATTGGTGGATTGCTCCTTTAAGTCATTATTTGATATCTTAAATCCTACCAAGGCTCTGTCTAGCCTGTATTTATTTTGTTCAATTTGTTTTGTTTTTTTTTAGTGAAAAAAATAGAGCTACCAAGAAGCTTTGGCGCCATAAAATGAAAAGGTCAAAGTCGGATACAGAAGCAAGCTTGTCAAAACACTCAAAAAAATCCTCTCGAAAGAAGAAAAAGAAAAAGAAGAAGAAAGACGGGGAAGTAAAGCGAAAAAAAGCTAAGTGTTCAAGCAGTGACGATAGTAGTGACGACAGCAGCGTTACCAAAGACAAACAGAGGAGAAAAAGGACTAAAAGTCGACGTAAGGACAAGAAAAGTGCAAAAGCCAGAAGGAGAGATGATGACAGCAGCTCAGGGGACAGTGATGACGGAGGAAGGGAAAGACAGACTCACAGTCGCAAAAAGCGTAAACAGGACTCCCACAAAGACTCAGACTCGGGGCCAAACTCAGAAAAGAAGAGGAGGAAAAATTGGAAAGCAGCTGGTGAGGAGAGCTCAGATGATAGTTCTGCTGACTGAGATGCACGGACATGGACAGATGCACAACTCAGGTAACGAACAGGAAAACTACTGCAGATCCCTTTGTTCCCCTTAACTGAACAGAGGGCTTTTCACTGTAGGGCCGTTCTGTATTGTACTTTGTTAGACATCAACAAGCCTGTGCTGTCGGCCCTCACTGTGGGCGTTTTGTGTAGCAATATCTCATCACCTCTGCAGTGGCTTGAAGTACTTTGTACAGCAGTGCAGGCAGCAGGCAGCGTGAGGAGTAGGTGGTGGGGTACCCTCATGAAGAATTCTCTCGACTGCAGGCTCATTGATTGATCACTGACTCTCGCCTGAGACTGTCAGCCTAACGTGGAGACCATCTGTCCTGAAATGACCGCTTTTTTAATTTTATTTAAGAAAGAAAAACAGTAAAATTATGCAACTTTCCTCACTGGTTACGATAGAATGTCCATGTGGTTTTAATCATGTTTTTTAGTTTTGTAAATTTTAATATTTGTATGCAGCACATTGTCATGTGTGAAAAATAAACATCTATTTTTCTGTTTTCTGAAATGATTTTTGTTATTTAAAACAGTTGAATATTCAGTATATATATATTTTTTTTAAGAATAACTCTGTGCTTAAGATGTCTGGTGATAAAAAAAAAAAAAATTAAAAACACATCAATTCACACTGTTGTACTGGTTGACATGTACCGCTAGTATACCAAGCAGCTGGGCACCAATTGTGTATCTATCCAAAGCTGAAAATAGTCCCTGACAAATTTCCTCCTATGTAAGTAATATTTGCTAAAACCTACACTGCACAATGGTTTAATTATTTAAATAAATCTGTATATTTATGACCCATTTTTAAAGATTTACATGGTTTGGGGCCAAGTGTCACAGACAAGGTATGGAAGTCAGACAGTAGTGAAAGGCTGACTAACACTGTTGGTTTTAATGTTTTCATGGGATTTGTTGATAATAACAAAAACTGAATATTGCCAGCCTTATCCTCTCACAGAGATAGTTATACATGTTAAACCATGTGTCATAGATCTGACATTTTCATTTTATTCCTGAACATATTGCAGTAAAAATATGAAAACCACCATTTCCACCCGTCTGCTCAGATTCTGTCAGTTTAGAACATTCACACAAATTCGGAGCCAAATAAAGCAATGTAATGAGATGCTAGTGGAAGTCTAGATAGCTGAGTTAATAATTCACACTTGAATACTCTGAAATAACCTCTGACATAAAACAAAAAAAAATTACATTTACAATTTGAGGTCTTGTTATTTTTTTGATTTGTCAGGCTGTTTGTAAAGAAATAAACAGGTTGGTTTCCTCTTCGTAGACCATCATGGATCAGATGTCACTGCAGTCCTGTCTCAGTTTGAACACACACATCTATTCAAGATGCAGAAGACACACCTTAATAAGCTGCTACTCATGATCAAAGTGAATAAATGTAGAGCTTTATGGAAGTGCTCTTTGACTGCTAAGCTAGTCAACGAGCACTCAGTGGTTCAGGTCTGTACTGAAAAGCAGCAGAGTGCCTTCCCCTGAAAGGCCTTATTGCTTAGGGATTCTAATACATTGGTAGGATTTAGTGCCTGAGAAAAAGACTGAAAAACACCAAACAGCCGCGAGTATACAAATTTAACACTAGACATTCAAACAGCACTATTTGAACCAAATGAACATCATCTTCTGTGTCGCTGGTAGGTTTCTTCCTGACACACTACATTCTTATTTTCACATTTTTTTGACAGAGTCAAAGTCTAAATAAACCTGGTAACAAGTAGTAGGCCTGTGCCTATCTGGTTATTTTTAGATAATCGGATGCTGAAGGAAGTGTTGGTAAACCATTTCGAAAGTGTGTGTGTACTGCAAATGCCTGAAGCACTTTGCTGAGTCTGTGTCAATAGGCTAAGTGTTCTCTCTAAGCAGCAGAGAGTGGGCTGTTTTGAGCTTGGCTGCAACTGCCCAGATCTTGGAAGTGGAAAAAAGCAGATGAAATTCGACTGGTCAAATCAGTGTCGACAGAGGTTTTTAAAAACACATTGTCTAGGTTAATAAGCATCTGGCAGGAGGGCAAAATCCATAATTGAATGTGTGTTTATAGCTACATATATCTAACTTATTCAGAATTCTATTATTTAGAAACTAATAAATAAATCATTTCTGGCTCCGAGGATTTCAATATTATTCAGTTGGTCCATCGCCTTCATCCTGACAGAAATATCTTAACTACTGGATGACTTGGCAACACCTCCACGAATATTGCATGGATTGCCATGAAATGTTGTACAGACATTCATGTCCCCCCAGGGTGAATTGTAATAACTTGATTAGCAAATGGTAGCATGCCTTCTTGCTAAAGTAAGATGGTTTACATTGTAAATATTACCTGCTAAACATCAGCATCTTAGCCTTGTCATTTTGAGCATGTTAGCATGCTTGCGTTAGCGTTTAGCTCAAAGCACCACATCAAGTACAGCCTTGCAAAACCGCTAGCATGGGTGTAGACTCATAGAATTAGAAATAAATGCAAAAAAAATAGATTTTTTCCTGCTTTGCATCTTGCTACATTATATATTATGAGATATATATCAACAATATGAAGTGTAACTTTTTGCTTATATCTGTTACTGCAAGTCTCCTCAAATGGTTGCGATGACAGCAGTTTCCACATTTCCCAAGTAACGAAACACTACTTCTCCTAATCCTAATTGTCTCTCCACAGAAACTGTGTACAATGTGTCTTGATTTACATTTTCAGATTCCACTTCTCAAATCAGAAAAAGGAGTGTATTTATACAAATATCACAGGTAGGTTCAAGGCAAACCATCAGAACAAGGGTCTGTCTGGGATCAAAATCATGTACCTATATCATGTTTAAGTATGATGAACATTAGCCTATCACAGAAAAAAATGATATAGTTGGCATCAGCGTTTGAGCTTCACCACAGTTAGAATAGGGTTTGGTGAAAAAAATGGATAAGTCTTTACATTTTATACTCACTCAAACAGGTTCAGATTGGACTTTTCAAACACATATTACTATGCATTGAACATATAGTGGTATCTTCAGTGAAAAAAAATCACACCGTCACTCAGAACTGCTGATGAGACAAAACACACTTTGCTCTTTCCCAAGTGTTTGCTAGTTTGGCTGGCCGGGACGATTTTGGAGCCTGGCTGAGGTCTCAGCCTCCTTCTACCTAAGCAGATTTTGTGTTGAATTATTACAGATAGGAGACTGGAAAGCATCAGCATTAAATGAGGAGATGGACGAGGGTCGAAAAATGTGTGCACCACAAATTGACAGCTTAGCGTTTACACCCTGAAGTTAAGTCTTCTTCTCGGAAAAAAACAATATTTCAGGTTATGTAAAATGTGAGTGGTTTTGGCTGAAAACTGGTTAAGTGTGATGAAGAGAAAGGAAAGGGATGACCCCGTTCTTAGACTCAATCCTCTCTGTCACTGAGGATGCAAATTGAAGAGGATTTAAAACCTCCAGTGTGACTTATCTCTATGCTCCATGTTTTATCTGTGTGCTGTCCACGCAGCTGTTTGATCTCTGCCTGTGCTAAGTAGCTGCAATCAGAAGGAGAGGGTGGTTTCTGTAGCAGCAAACAAATATCCCTCATCCACCCTGATCATATCTTTTCTCGCTGTCATGTCTGCTTTTCACCCCCCATATTAAGCATTTATAGGCAGTTTATAAACATTTAAAATGCTTTATAACACACTATAAGATGGTTGTAAGGATATTATGGGACATTTTTAGTGTTTATGGATGGATTTGTCAACAACTTGTCTTTTGAGGCATCTGTAGCTTGTGTATTTAGTTAATGAATGATTTACATACATTCATTACATTTTGATTACATTTGTAAATGAAGTATGAACAGAACACCATCTTCTGATGAAGGCCATGGGGTGAGGATTTGTGCATGTATCTAATCATAACATTAAATATGACTATAGCAGTGGTATACTTGTGTTATCAAACATTCGTCATTCACCAGTAATAGATGCTTCACAGGAGGCGTAATAGTTGCTGACAAATACCTTAATAAACACTTGAAAAAGTGTCCTTACATCTGCTCACAACTACATCACAGTGATTCATAAATTATTTGTTAAGTGTTTACTGCTTATAAATGATAAATAGGGGGAGGTTAAAGTAAAATCTTAATTCTTTTTCAATATCTAAGCTTTCAGGCAATTCAGAATTAGAGCTTAATAAAAACTAAACTTTAAATGCCACATGTGATGCACATTTCTGCTAAATACGGTTATTAATGCATCCTCACTGCAGTGTGCAAGTAATTAGGAACCTTACAGAGCGTTGTCTCCCCCTAGTGGTGGGCATCTGATGTTACATCCTTGTTAAAACAGCTGGCTGCATTTGAATTCAGCATCTCAACGTCCAGTTATCATGTCCCTCGTCGTCCCACACCCCACTCTGCTCCATGGCCGTCGCGCAGCTTTCACAGAGGCCTTATAAATAGTACTCAGTACATCAAATATTCATCATCTCTATTCGTGCGTCCCTCTCTGCAGTAGACACATATTGCTGCTCCTGAAGCACAAGAAGGAAACGTCACTTACACAGTTAACCCACACAAAAAATTTAATACCCTTCGTGAGGGGATAAATGGTCCAAACTTTGACATACTAAATAGGGAGAGGTGTGATGACACAGGTTTTTAATGTAAAAACTTGCAGCCAACACCCAAATGCTTTGTAAAAAGTCATGTGACATATGACTTACTTACTTACATAGTTAGTACACATACACCAATGTTTTAATATACTTATATATGTCTTTTTTGTTTGTTGTCTTTTTATCTAGACCAGCCAGATACAGTACCGATTAATATACAGTCACATCTGGGACAATACCTATTTAACATCATATAGTCCGACTGCCGAGGAGGAATCCACAGCAGGTTTCCAGGTCCATCCTCTCTATGCTAACATTAGAAATCGGCATGTGTAAAATTCTGTTCTTTTTTTTTTTAATTATTATTATTGTATAGACTGGTGGTGATACTTGTCCTTGTATCTCGTGTCTTCTGTGCAAAAGTTTTTTTTTTTGAAAGAACCCAAAACATGATTGACATAACAGGATACCTGGCTGTTCACTTTACAGTTATGATGAAGTTTTTTTTTTTTTTCTTTTCTTTTTTTTTTTTTTAAAACAATTCAACAGTCACATCCAGATGCCACACCCTTTGCCATGTCACAGAAAAAGGAGAAAATTAAAAATCAAAAATAATGCTTCCCATTATCAGGGTGGGAGGCAATGATAGAGAGGAAGGTTTATGACTACAGTGAGCAGCATCCTCCATTCGTACATTTTTTTTAGAATAAGGCACTGCTGCATAAAGAAAGGACATGGCCAACAAACCTCTCTGGGAGTATAATGGGGAGGCAGGATGAAGGGAGACTGTGTTCTTCTCCAGCAACTCACAGAAAGTTTGCATGTGTAAGTAAATGTGCTTGTGTTTATCGTTTGCTGTGTGCAGGAAAAGTGTGCGTTATATGGCATGTAGGCATATTTGTGTTTTTACATGTGTGTGTTTGTGTGTGGCTGAGCCATTTTTTCAGCTACACTGTTTTCCTCAGACTGTGCTCTCAAGCATCCACTCGGTGCTGCTGAATGTAACTCTCCTGTTGGCGAGCGGAGATGACTCCACGTTGAGCTGGTTGGTGGACTTGTGCCACCTCGTCCTCGCTCTGCGTGGGTAACTATGACTCTGAAATATGGAGTAATCCCCACCGTCAAAAGAGAATCTGTGCCTAGTTCGTGCCAGCTCATTAGGGAGCAACCCCATGTTGGCCAGGGCACTTTTCTTGTCCTTGAGCCTGGGAGCCTCCTTGGTGCCAGCATTGGGACCTATGAGACACAGGGACATGGTGGAGCCCGTCAGGCTACTGTCTGTCTGCGTGTCCTCAGACGGGGGACCAGAGCGCTGTGCATCCAGGCTGGTTCTTCTCTTCATCTTGTCTACAGTCAGCGGAGGCAGCTCCACCTCCAGGATGGCAGTAGTGGCAGCTGGATCCTCCTTCTTCTCATTGTCCACTCTCAGCACCAGCGCCATGCACTCTTTGGGCACCTGGGCTTCGCGCTGGCCCTCGTCAGAAGGCTGCTTGGAGGTGGAGCGCTGGAGCCGCTGCTGGCTGCCGTTGGTCTGTGAGTGCATGCTGGAGCTGACCTTGGTCTTGCTGTCCTCTGGGCTGCTGTAGGTCTTGTAACGGATCATCAGGATGATGATGAACACCAGCACTGAAGCAACAATTATACCACCGATAATGATGATCATAGTGCCTCCCAGGAACTGACTGTGCATGAAGCGGCACTGGCTGACCTCACTGGCCGTGTGGAACTGTACGCAGCCAACCACACGTGTGGCTGTTAATGATGTGATGCCGTCGTCATAAACCGCCAGCACACAAAGGTCATACTCCCGCCCCGCGGCCAGATCATTGATTAAGAAGTTCTTACTGGTAGATGGGATCATTCTGCAGAGGAAAGAAACACGATGACGATGTAGAGGATTAATCATCAGAATTACAACACCCACATATACTGATTTGCATAAGGTGTATTAAATCACACAAAGGTGTCAGTTCCACACAACAAGAAGACAACAGGGCCATCGCAGCTCTAGCATTAAATATCACTCATTCTGGTAGAGAAAAATAAAAAGCACTACACTCCATTAAAGCTGACAAATGAGAAAATATGTAACATTATAAAACAGCAATGAGAGGTTGCTCTATTGGGTATGTGTATAAAATGACAGTGAAAGGTAAACTGCATGGTGATAAACAAGGCAGAAGTGGCGCACTGTCTAAAGAATATGCCACAACAGCTGCGGGCTGCAGGACAACTGACGCATGATGTGAAGACAGTTTTGATGTGTGAATACCTAAGGTCACATTTTGTTGGCAACTGCAAGATTACATGACTCTAAATACGAAGGAGAAAGGCATTGTCTTCAGGTCAACATTGGCGTTAATATAATTAGAAGCTTGTTCCTTTTCCCTAAAGGGAGATTTTGATGGTTATCATTTGTAGGTAATGATGTACCACCTAAAGACAAAACAACACTCAGCTCCATGCCTAAACTGGATGAGAAAATTATACAGGAGAGAGACTCATTATATCTGATAAAACCTAGGAAAAAAAGTCGACCACTGTTATTAACTCGCTCCGTGAACACATAAATCCTGCAATACTTTTCCGTACGCTAGCTTCACTCTATGTGCGTCACATGTTGCATAAGAAACACATCGAGCTTATTCTCTTATTTAAAACAATATTTTAGTAAGCTTTGCAAATGGTAGTTTTTACTCACCATTTTAAAAAGAGTGAGCTCATACTGTATGAGCATGACTCAGTTTTTACTTGTAACAAAGGGTTATTCATTTTCCCATTTTCCCTGTATAATCACTTCATACACACATATATTACACATTGCAACTTAACTACTGTATATTGTAACTTACTATGAGTAACTTGCCTATATTGCCCTTGTGCTTGTATTCCTCTCTTTGCTTCAACCAAGCCCTGGTACAAAGTAGTTAAGGACATTTAATCAAGTACTGTATTTCCATTTTCTGATCTGTGTAGTTTTTTCAGAGGGAAATAATGTGACAGCTGTGGTAACTAGTTACTTTTCACATTAAAATGTTAAGGTGATGAGCTTATAGAATTCAATGCACTGTTAGAAATTAAACCGGTACTTCCCAAACTTTTTGGATTGTTAAAAAAAAAACTTCAGTGCCTTGCCACAGTTCAGATGTCTATGAGTTTACAGCAGTTCCACCAAAGAACGATTTCCCCATTAAAATTCTCAGATGGTTTTATTTACTATTTGAAGCCCAAAGAGGTAAATTGTCCAAAAAACCAGACAAACAAACAAATAAAAAAAATGATCTTAAGACCCCTGAGGTTTAAGTTGTGACCCTCTGGAGGGGTGTGACCCGTAGGTTGGAAACCACAGTATAAAGTAGTTAAAACTAGCTCTACCTCGACCAGTTTCAACAGTAAAATGTTCCTTGCACATTGTTGCATCAGTGTTAAAAATCGAATAATGTCATGTATAATAACATATCAGTCACCTTATTCTGCAGAATTAGTTCTTTAACTTTTGATCATTTAAGTATGTTTTGCTGATAATACTTCTGTATGACAATGATGTCAAATTTTGAGGCCAGAACTTCTGAATGAACTATTTTTCTAGCCTGGTCCTGCTCCTTTTACTTACTGTAAGTAAATGATCTGAATACTTGTTCCACCACCACTGCAACCAAGCCTATCATTAGACAACCATATCTAATCGCACTCTGTGTTGCAACCAATTAATGTAGACACTTGCTAATGATATAAACAGTTACATGCAGTAAAATAGTTGGTCTCATGTTATTGTTGTCAAATTATGTTTTAATGATGCTGAAAAGGCCCTTTAGTCCTTTAGAGCGCTGAAGTTCACAATCTATTTATTCATTTGATTGCAACAATCTACTCAAACATCAGAGTGAATATTGTTTACTAAACCTGTAAATATCTTAATTATACTGTACTTTTTATGCATATTACAATGCATTTTAATGTATTTTAATTTATGGAAAAATATTCTTTCTCAGTTTATCCCCCAGACTACGCTATAGGGGTTCTGCTTATTTTTGGACATACTTAATCATTTTGCATCTTTGGGATCCGTCAATCTGCCGTAGCGGACCGTTGTGTCATTCAGCAGATGGTAACTCCAGATGTCTCACCTTTCCTCTTGTCCCTCCTCTACCACCCTCCTCTCCCTCCATTCATCCACCCCCTGCACCAAGACTTACCTGTACACCAAAGTATCATCTGCTGTGCTGTTGTACTGAATCTGGTACATCCTGATGCCGGGGATATGGCGCTCAGATGGCCAGCGGATCACAGCGGACGAGGAGGTCAGCTCCGTGACCATCACCCTCCTGTCCTGCTTGTCATAGCCCTTTGTGTCATTGCCAGATTTGGAGGAGGTGGTGATGTCTGAGAGACCGGGGTCCTCACGCATGTGGCCTGTGTTGTTAACAAACAAGGGTAAGGGGATCATGTTGATCTCAACAGCAGCTGTAGCAATGCCTGCAGCATTGGACGCCACACAATTAAATGCTCCGCTGTCCTTCAGCGTAGTGATGAGAATATCAAGGGTGCCATTATCATACAGGATGGTGCGGGAATTATTATGCACCAGCTTGCCGTCTGGTGATCGCCAGTGAATATCTGGGTCTGGATCACCAACAGCTTTGCATTTAAGAGTCACACCCTGCCCCTCCATCACATAGGGCTTAGTGGAAAGATGTTTGGTGATGAGCGGAGGCTCACAAATGAACTCCTCCTCTTGGATGGACCAGAAGTATTTGTCCATGAGGTGCTCTGGTGAGGCACAAGTCTCCAGATCATCCTCTCTTGTCAGCCTGCGGAGCCACAGCAGTTCACAGTTACAATGAAGAGGGTTTCCACCGAAGCTTACAGCCAGAGTGGACGAGCTGGAGCCCTTGGCATCAGACAGGACCTGTGCGTGCTGGAACAGGCTGTCTGGTGGCAGCTTCTGCAGCCTGTTTGAGGTCATGTCCAGCCGGACCAGCTTGGTGAGCAGCGTAAAAGTGCCTGCTCCAATGTGGTCAATCAGGTTGTGGTCCAGTGTGAGTGTGTTGATGTTGGTCATTCTGGCTATGGCTTCCCAGGGAAGGCTGCGCAGGTTGTTGTTGGAAAGATCCAAGTCCTCTATGGTGGAAACAAACTCATCAAAGGAGGTGGGGGCCACCTGGTGGATCTGGTTGTTTCCGAGGATGAGGTGCCGCAGGTTGATAAGGCCTTTAAAGTGGTCGCTCTTTATCACACTGAGGCGGTTTCCATCCATGTGGAGTGCTCGCAGGGATCGCAGGCCGAAGAAGGCATGGGGAGTGATCTGGCTGATGGTGTTTCGGGACAAGGTGAGGTGGACCAAACTAGTCATGTTGAAAAAGTCTTTCCTGCGGATGATGGTGATGAAATTGTCAGTGAGTCGCAGCTCGACGGTCTTGCGGTCAATGGTGGGGGGCACGAACAACAGGCCAGTCTTAGCACAGAGCAGAGTTAGAGTGGGGGACAGGTGCTGGCAAATGCAGCGGCCGGGGCAGCTGTACCCTTTCACCAGAGCTGCACAGAGCAGCACGCACAGAACCAGTCGGTCCATTGTTGATCAGTTTCCAGGTCCTGTGTGTGAGACAGATACAGGGAAATAGGAGAAACAGTGAGTTAAAATATAGAGATCTTTGAATGAATAAATAGCATCATTGCCTTTATGAGACCTGCTGCAAAAATCAAGAGTCTGACCAAGATTGCTGAGACTGTCAGCAAGGTATCAATCACAAAATGAAATGGAGCTTTTCTGAAAGAACGGCACCCGGGATGATGAAAGGCTGTGCCAATACTGTCAGAAGCTCGTGTCTCTGTAGCCTTTCAATGGAAATAACAGAATGTTTTTGTGCCACCAGGCTGCGTTACCACTGAACCATATAATTTCTCAAATGATCACAGGACAGTTTTCCTATATCAGGTAACCATACCATGTACATTTCCATCATACAACAAGGCTCGTGTGTTTTTCTTGCTCTGAATTCCACATCAGGGTGGAGAATTAAAGGTAGAAAAGGGCTCTTGTCAGCAGTGCTCAAGGAGTTTTATGACCTTTTCATGCTCTATGCTCTCCCCCCAATGCTTCCGCGATGTACTGCAAAATTAGACAGAAACCTGTCATGTAAATCACGGCAACAAAAAGTAAAGGTGAAAACAGTGGAAATGCGGCTTGTTTTTCGAGTCTATCCAATGGAGGCATTATTGGATGATTCTCGGGTTTTGAGGATGCTCTGATTCTCTGATTCCCCTTTAGAGGTATTGATTTCTCTCTTGGAGAGAACACGCCTGTGGTGACAGGAGTAAAAAGTGATCCTTTGCTGTAATAACCATAAGAGACCCCAGTGGAGCACCAACAGTGATGTGCTGATGCCCACTTTGGTGTCCATCTTCACTGTTAATACCTTAAGCTTCGCTGTTGATGAGAGAACATGTTAACGCACTTAAAGTAAACGGCTGACAACCGACTTCTCTTTTCTAGGTTTAGAGATCGACATAAAGGTTGCTTCAGCCTACCACCCCATCCAACCCCACAGGGTGACAGCTTTGATCCCTGCTAGATCCAATGTTTCAATCAACAGTGATGTCTGTTTTTTTTTTTTTTTTTTTTTTTTTTTTTTTTTTTTTAAGGAGGTCCAGCATAAATATTTTTAATACACTCAAGAAATGCTGGCTGCGGATTTTAAGCACAATTTGAGTCTGTTTTTCAGCCCTTTTGATGCTCCATCCAATTTGTCATGAGTAATTTGAGCCTTTCTATCCACGTTACGCTACATTGAGGTGGTGCTGACGTCTTTAACACCACCGATTTCGTCCCCCATTGTGCCCAAAGCAAAAGCATCTAATGCTCACAGTACCAATAGCCCTAAATTAAATTAGATTTAAAAGCGCCTGCGGTGAAAGTCATAGAATATTTAAAATGCCACATGTCAAATTTCGTAGGAAAATAAAGTATAAGCCAAGTTTTCTTCCTCCTCAGACTCTCAGACAAACTTAATTGTATGCTATGCACGAACACTGTTTTTCACACATCTTAAACTTTACAAACATGGCCTGATGACATTGCCTCATGTCGTTGCTATGCGTGAGAGAAGTGAGAAATTGCAAGTGCACTGCTGTCGTTTTACATCAACCTGTGTTGCGTTTGCCAGCCAGCAATGAAAGGTCTTAGTTGCTTTTTTCATTTTAACTCTCTTGTGGCGTGCACGCACGCACACACACACACACACACACACACACTGGCTGGTTACTGTCTGACAGACAACAGGGCACCTCGTTAACTATGAAATACTGCTGTCCAATCAGAGCGCTCATTAAAATCTGGTTTTGTATGATGTCATTTTCTGAGGGACGTAGAACAGCTTGAAGCACAAGCTCAAACCAGTGGGATAGTGTCATAAAGGTTGTTGATCAAATATAATCAACACTGACAGTATTACTTCTTTTTCATACTACTTTTCACTAGACCATTAAACTGTATTTTAATAAAAAACACCAAACCCAAACCTTTGCTCAGTTGCTCACTCCCTCCCTCCTGGTTCTGACTCTGCAAGCTTAGCTATAACCTCCATTTCCAAGACAGAACCACCTAACTGTCTGAAATTTCAAAAGATTTCTCCTAGTGCAATTTATTCAACAAAGAATATACAAGCAAGATAAAAATACAACTAGCTCACATAGTTATTTTCTCTGTTCAGTCATATTTATACTGAGGTTAAACAATTTCCTTGTACAAAGACACACACTAGGTGGTACACTGTGTGAGAAAATTTCCAAACCTCCAGAGAGAATTTATTTATTTAGCAATGCTCCCCTATGTTGGTAGCACAGTGTGCCTGCCTTGTCTAATTTAATTCTCTAAAATTTCCTTTTTTAAGATTCTGGGGAAGCTAAAACTACAACCGAGTTTGCTTCCTCTTAAAAAGGTTCCTTTAGAGCTACAATACAGCAGGGTGAGAGGGTTTCAACAGTGCTAAGATCTTTGGTTCAGATTTAATCTAATATTGTTGCCCAAGTTTGTTGAATTTCATCACAATAGAGACCTCGCTTGCTTGTGTTAGTATTCAGAGAGTAACTAGGCCACAAAGCTCATGGTTTCTCAGAGGACCATCTGTGCCAGCGCATGTCCTGCCTCACCGTCGAGGATACTCTATTGATCTTTCAGCATCTCAGGGCGGGAGAAAACTTTGTTGCCACGGCAACTCTGGTGTAGAATGTAGGTCTTTGAATTGCATTAAGATGATGTTGAGTTGCCCGAAAAGCAGAGCTTCAATCTGAATGGGAGCTCAGAAGGTAAGAAGGGACGTACATGTCTGAATGGCCGAGTAAATTAAAAAGAAAGCTCTGCCTCACATTTCTATTTCTGTTTTATTGCTTAATATTAGTGCCAGCTGCCAAATCGATATGTAGACAATGGGAGGGAGCACAAGGTGAACTGGAATTTAGGTTTTTTTTGTGTCCAGTCATGCAGGAGCACACAGGACTGCTTAGACACCTTCAGTTTTAATTAAGAAAAGGTTGTATTCACATTCTGTCATATTCAGACACCAAAACAACTAGGCTATAAATGTTTTTTTGTTTTTTTTTAAATCACACATTTACATTCATCCAGGAATACAATGATACCCATGACACATACCTAAATAGTCTATGCACGCATAGAGATATAAATATGCACATACTGTCTGTATAAATGCGCCTATGGAGCTGTGAAACATCTGCAGAGCTTATGAAACAGTGCAGTCATAGCTTCATTTCTAAACCCCACTTAAAGTGTGTCCTCGTTTGCTTTTGAATATAGTAAGGTGAGCACTATGATTCATTATAATTGAAATTTGAAGATTTGCATATCCTAAGCCACCCATGAATGAACCTGACACCATGCTCAAGTTTTCTCAAGTCTTGATCGGTCCCACAATCCACAAGCCTCTTTTCATATCTGTTGTCCTTGGCCACAAAAAGCGGTATTACTACAAGTTTGACTAGTAAAAAGAAAATCATGCAGACATGCAGAAAACAGCCTGAATCTGAACCTCTGAACAGGAGAATATATGCAATTTGTTCCAAATTTTATATATTTAAATAAGCACTGATATAATGACATTTGACTTTTGACTTGATCTAAAATAAAATGGGGGGAAGTGGTCTCAGACTTTGTTCGTTGTTGTTATTGATCTGGTCAGAATTAAACATTGTATGAATCTGAAAACTTCTGAAAATGCGGCACAGCAAATTGTGAAACAAAATAAATATTGTTTATTTACTTAACTTTGTAATATAATTATCTATATCAATATTGATCATTTGCCAAAACAAAGTACTAGTTTTGTTTTAATTATGCTTTTGTTTAATTTTGCCCCCATAACACAGCTTAAAATGCATGTCAGAATTAGTGAAGCTAATTTTACAGGGAGCGCTAAGTAGCTCTCCCTGTGGACACTAATGACTGATGACTCTCATCTGTATTAGAGGTGTATTAGCGCTGGTGGTTCTAGTTTCTTTAATGCCTGTGAAATTTCTCCTCTGTTGTGCCATGGTTATTTGTGTTTTGTCTTAAGTGCAGTTTTTAATTTTTGGACATGTGCTTATGGTATGGGCTTCTTCAGAAGCTACGCTGTTGGCTAGAAGACGCCTGCTGTCTACCCTCCTATTGGTGGGTGTGTTTCTGACCTAGCTTCAGTTTGGGGTGATCCTTATTATTGATTACTGTGCATTTTAATTCTGAGTTACCTTGCTTGTACTGGGTGTATTTAGCTTTGTTTTAGCTGTTTGCACAGACATATATACTCTTGGGTGTGTGTTGTTAACCACTGCACCAATAGAAGCAGTCCTTTCACCAGCTGTGTGGGGGTTTCTGTCCCTTGGTGCCTATTTGGACGTTAACTGCATTGTTGTCTTGAAAGAAGGGTTGTAAATTTTTCTGCTTTACATCTGGCTGTGTGGTAATTGTTCTCTTGCCTCTGATACTGGACCAAACTGGATAAAAAGAGGTGATGGCAACTACAGCTGGAGCAATTAGGCAACCAACAGAGGAATTAATCATCAAAAAATGCTGATAAATGATTAATTATTTAAATCAGTTATCAAGGGAAAATGACAAATGGTCTCTGGCTCCAGATTATTAAATGAGAGGATTTGATTATTTTCTCTTCGTTATATCATTGTAAAAGGATATTTTTTTGAGTTTAGGATCGCCGGTTAAATCAAGTAACTGAGGACATCCCCTTGGGCTCTAGGAAACTGATTGTGATTTTTTACTATTCTGACATTTCATAGACTACACCTTTATTCAAAAAAATAATTGGATTAATTAACAATGAAAACAATCATTAGTCGCTTCCCTAAGAGCAACACTGTTGACAGGTCTTGGAACAAAGGCTGGTACGGTTTTATTTTACATTTCCTGTATTTGCCAGTTAAACACATGGAAACTTTCCTCACACTTTCTTAAAAAATTGCTGATTTGGTATTTATATGTTAATTTCAATGAAAGGTCTCTACAATTTAGCACTGATTGTAAGGGAAATGGAGAAAGTGTCAGTCATTACCCTCTTATTACAC